CTTCTGAGGACTAAGGTGCACCTGACCCAAGCCATGGTATTTTCAATAACCTCATATGCATGTGAAAGCTGGACAGTGAATAAAGAAGACCGTAGAAGAATTGATGCTTTTGATTTATGGTGTTGGAGGAGAATATTGAAAGTGCCATGGGCTGCCAAAAGAACCAATAGATCCATTTTGGAAGAAGAGCAACTAGAGTGCTCCTTGGAGGCCAAGATAGCCAAATTTCATCTCTCATACTTTGAATATATTGTCAGGAGGGAGCAGTCACCTGAGAAGGATATCATGTTTGGTAGGGTGGAGGGTCAGTGAAAAAGAGGAAGACCCCCAACAAGATGGATTGGCCAAGTGACAGTATCAATGGACTCAAACATGGCAACAGTAGTGAGGCTGGCCCAGGATCGGGCAGTGTTTCATTCTGCTGTGCATAAGGTTGCTATCGGTTGGTACCGACTCAATGGCACCTAACAACAACAAAAACAACATAACAGAAATACCACAAATGGTAGTCATTTTGTTGTTGTTAGGTGCCATCGAGTCAGTACCGACTCATAATGACCCTATGCACAGTGGAACGAAACACTACCCGATCCTCAGCCAACCTTACTGTTGTTGCCATGCTTGAGTCCATCAATGCTGCCACTTGGCCAATCCATCTCGTTGGGGGGTCTTCCTCTTTTTCTCTGACCCTCCCACCCTACCAAACATGATATCCTTCTCCAGCGACTAGTCCCTCCTGACAATATGTCTGAAGTATGACAGATGAAGTTTGGCCATCCTGGCCTCCAGGAGCACTCTGGCTGCACTTCTTCCAACACGGATCTGTTGGTTCTTTTGGCAGCCCATGGCACTTTCAATATTCTCCTCCAACACCGTAACTCAAATGTGTCAGTTCTTCTATGGTCTTCCTTATTTACTGTCCAGCTTTTGCATGCATATGAAGTTATTGAAAATACCAAGGTGGCTTGGGTCAGGCCCACCTTAGTCCTTAAACTGACATCTTCGCTCTTTAACGCTTTTAAAAGGTCTTGTTCAGCAGATTTGCCCAATGCAATATGTTTGACTTCTTGACTGCTGCTTCCATGATTGTTGATAGTTGATCCAAGAAGAATGAAGTCCTTGACAACTTCAGTCTTTTCTCTGTTGATAAGAATGTTGTTTAATGGTCCAGTGGTGAGGATTTTTGTTTTCTTTACATTGAAATGTAATCCATACAGAAGGCTCTTTGATCTTCATCAGTAAATGTTTTAAGTCCTCTTGACTTTCAGCAAGCAATGTTGTATCATCTGCATATCACAGGTTGTTAATGAGTCTTCCTCCAATCCTGATGCCACTTTTTTCTTCATAGAACCCAGCTTCCCAGATTATTTGCTCAGCATGCAGGTTGAATAAGTATGGTGAAAGAATACAACCATGTCGCACACCTTTCTTAATTTTAAACCATTCAGTGTTCCCGTGTTCTGTTTGAACAAGTCATTAGCAAACAGAAATTTATTCTATTACAGTGTATGAGGCTAGAAGGCTGAATTCAGAGCACTGGCTCTAGGGAAAGGTTCTTGTCTCCTTTCAGCATTCCTTAGAGATCTCCATGTGTCTTGACGATAGTCATTCCTTGGATCTAGTAGTTTCATGGGTCCAAAGGACCCACTCCACTCTTGGCTCTTCTTTCTTGGTGGTAGTAGGTCTTTCTTTCTCTGTTCACTTCTCTCTCCTTTTATATCTCATGAAAGATCGACTTAAGATACAACCTTATCCTGTAGATTGCATCAAACCTCATTATCATTGTAAAAGTGAGAATTTTCAATGCATTGGATAATTACATCAGGTCTGGTTGCAACAGATGGTATCATGGAGTTGAGTGTATTCTATTAGATCTCATCAAGGAGGTGATAACTACATCTTAATTGCTAAATCACTAAGAATCCTGGCCCAGCTAAGTTGACACAAAACCTTAAGTATCACAAGTATCAATGAATATTTATCTACAATATCATAAAAGACAAACTAATATATTCATTTATATGACTCTGTAATAATTTATTGAGAATTTATTATAAATATTTATTATAAATTTATTATTAAAATATTCTAGCAGCCTGAGTGGCTCATCATTAATTGGGTATTATCTAACCCACAGAGATAAGCACTGGACTGCCAGCCACAAGGTCAGCAGTTCAATCCCACCAGCCACTTCTTAGAAACTCTATATAAGGGTTTCTAGGAGTCAGACCCAAGTCATAGCACTTTACAACAACAGCAATCAAGAAAAAAGAAGAGACAACATATATTACAAATATCAAGAATACAAACGTGAACATCACTACAGAGCCTAAAGACTTTAAAACCATAACAAGGGGTAGTATGAATAACTAGGCTCACAGATGGGGTGACCTAGATGAAACACAAATTTCTTTAAAGACACCAGCTGACAAAGCATAGCCAGAAAAAATTAACCTGAATAGAACTTTATATATTAAAGGAATTTAATTTGTAGTGAAATCCTGCTCACAAAGAAAATTCCAGGCTCAGTTGGTCTTACTGGGGAATTTAAGGAAGAAGTAATAGCAATTGTACGAACTCTCCCAGAATATAAAAGAGGAGGAAACACATTCCAACTCATTTTATGAGGCCAGCACTATGTTGCCAAAGCAACACAAATACATTATAAGATTAGAAAACCTACATTCCTCATTGTTGTTAAGTGTCGTAAAGTCAGTTCTGAGGAGCAGCAAGTAGATTTGAACCACCTACTTTATGATTAGCTGTTGCTATTGTTAAGTGCCATTCAGTTCTGACTCATAGAAACCCTGTATAGGGTTCATGAGGAGCAGCTCCTGGGTTTGAACCACTGACTTTGCGGTTCAAACCAACCTTGTGGTCCAGTGCTTATCCTATAGCCCCAAACCAAGACTCCAGTTAGAAAATGCAAAATTCTCAGCAAGATACTAGAAATTAGAATGCCACACTATATAAAAAAAAGTTAATGTCATCATGGCCAAGTGGAATTTATCCCAGAATGAAAGCCTGTTTCAATATTCAAAACTATTAATATAAATTAATGTAGTATATTAATTAAATCAAAAGACAGAAAAGCAAAAGCATACAATTATCTCAACAGAATAATTGTTAACGTAGTTCAGCATCCATTCATGATACTCTCAGTAATAAAAGGGAAATTTCCTAATCTATAAAAGCTATCTGGAAAAATCTTACAGCTAATATCGTACAAAGGAGTCCCTGGGTAGTATAAACGGTGTTAATGCTCCCTGCTAACTGAAAAGGTGCTGGTTAATTTTATCCAGAGGTTTATTCTGAGAAATCAGCCACTGAAAGTTCCATGGAGCACAGTTCTATTCTATCATACATGAGGTTGCCGTGTCAGATAGATTCACCAGCAACATAGTGTAAGATTGACTCTGTTTTCCCTAAGGCCAGCAACAAGGCAAAGGATAGCTGTTCTCAACAATCCTACTGGGCACTGTACGAGAAGGCATAGCTAGTACAATTATTTATTCATTCGGCAAATACTTATTGAGCATTTACTGCATGCTAGGCATTGGAAATACAGCAGTCAATAAAACAACAAGGTCATAGTTCTCAATAAGAGACAATATAAATAGACAAATTAATTGACATTAGAATATATCCATCTTCTTAGACTATCCACTCTCCCTGAGGGAATCATCTTCTCTTATAGCAACAGCCATTCATTCTATAGTTCTCATATTTATATCACCAAATCTGATCCCTCCCTTGAGCTCCAGATTCAAAGCCACCAACCCACTAGTTGGCGAATACACAGCATAGTGGTTAAGAGTTTATTAAGATTCTGGAGTTGCACTGTTCCATTCCTTACCAAGTATTTGGACATAACTGCACTGTACTTCAGTTCCCCCCTGTGTTAAATAGGGATATAATAATTGTATCTAACTAACATGACTTTTCTAAGTACCAGCAGAAGTAATGAAAATAAAAATTATTAAACAGAAAGAACTATGTAATTTTTTTATTGATAAGTAGATGAAGAAATGCATAATCCCTCACTAGAATCCGCTCTCAAAAAAATATTTCTACTGTTAAAGGTTTCCCTTGATGTCCAAGTAATGTGTGTGAGAGGGCCAATAAATAACATAGGAGCTCTGGTAGCGTAGTTGTTATGAATTGGGCTGCAAACCTCAAGGTCAGCAGTTCGAAACTACCAGATGTTCCACAGGAGAAAGATGAGGCTTTCTGCTCCCGTAAAGATTTATAGCCTCAGAAACCCTGTATAGGGTCGCCATGAGTCGGTTCCGACTCCACGGCACATAACCACCACCACCAAACTTTACAGAAGCAGAAAGCCTCATCTTTCGTCCTATGGAACAGCTGGTGGATTCAAACTACTGACCTTGCATTTAGCAGTCCAACTAACCCACTATACCACCAGGGCTCCAATAGGAGTAGTAGCTGTTGTTCTTAAGTGCCGTCGAGTCAGTTCCGACCCATAGTGACCCTGTACAGGGTTTCCAAGGAGCAGCTGATGAGCTTAAGCCACTGACCTTGAGGTTCAAACTGACTCTGCAGTCCAGTGCATTAACCCACAGTGCCGCACCAGTAATAGTAGTAAATATTTGTTATTCTGTGTGTCACTGCCCTAAGTAGTGACCGTTAACATTTTTGTAAAGTGAGATAATGATAATAATAATACATATAGGGAGCAGTTCATACTTATGGGGGTCTGAGACCAGCTCAGACCACTGCGTGAGTTACTCGAGGGAAAAGCGGGGATCGGTGATTAGGTAAGGGACACATGCTGATGGCAAGTGACCAAGTTTATTGTAGCAACGTAGTTTATATAGTACTTTTGCATTAGGTCATTGTTATTCTGCCTAGTTACAATGTTTTCTATAGCAACAAGGATATGATTACCAACCAGGATATGATTACATAAGTATAAGCATTGTTATAGCAGCACTGAATCATGTGATGTTTTGGTTAGTTTAAGTTTCCTTTTCTCCGAAATGGCTCAGGTAAATTCACCTGTAAGTTTCTAGTGCTGACATAACTGTTGCTAGGTAAGTTTGGTTTCAAGATAGTCATGAGCCTTGGAAGGCTCTGGCTTCCTACACATACTCACCAGCTGATTCCTTTTACCTGCTGATTTGTGTCTTAAGTTTCTTCTTCCTAAGACTTCAAATTTAAGAAGTAGGAATGTTTACACTTTAAACTGTGTCTGTGTATCTGTCTGAGTTCAATCAGGAGACAGAAACCACATAGTCTTTAAAAAACGGGAAATTTAATATAAATGTTGTTGTTGTTAAGTGCTGTGGAGTCTGTTCTGACTCATAGTGACCTGTGTGGGTTTCTGAGGAGTGCCTGGTGGGTTTGAAACACCACAAGCGGTTCAAGCTGACCTTGTGGTTTTCAGAAGTAGATTGAGGCATCTCTGGGTGAATTTGACCCTCTAACAGTCCAGTTAGCAGTCAAACACTTAACAATTTGCACTTAAGAAAACCAAGGTTCAAAAGGAATTTGCTAGATTGGAGAATAATATTTTGTGATTCCTAATCCTGGGTTCCTTTGAGCAATCAGACTGTGCAAATACAACATAAGGTTCATTTGTAGAATTAAGGAATATTGTGTGTGTGTCTGTCTGTCTGTCTGTCTGTCTCTGGGTTAATTTTGAAATAAGACCTCACTCTAAGATTTTTACATTCTTTGCTGTCTCTTTACTTAGTCGTGCGCCTTCTAGCAAGCATTATTTTTCCCACTTGGTAAACAAAGAAAATAAGACATCAAAAAATGGAATATAGGCCACCGATTGTGGGAGTAGAGGGGCAAGAGAGTACATTTCAGACTATCTTTGAGCCTTGAAGTTCAACTCTAGGAACAGAAATTTCACCTTGAAGGCAGAAGCAAAATCAAGTTAGAGCTTCTAGTAATTAAAATTTCCTGCAGCAACTCAGAATATAAATCAGCAGCCTTCTGGGTAAGTTATAGCTATTCACAATTGCAGGTTCTTTCGTTAAGGAAATTAAAGAAATATGTGTTCACGTTTCTGTAAAATCATGAGAACAACAATCAGACATCTGAAAATGATCACTTGAGCTGCGCTTAGGCTAACTTGTATTAATTATTCTGAATTACAGCAAAGAATGATTTCTCTCCTCTCTTGTCCCTACTGACAAGAGCATCCATCAGCTGTCTGCTATGGTTTATGCATCTCCAATAAAACCCACCAAGGCAAGCCTGAGCCCCTTGATGCTGACTCTCATGTCCTAGCTGAAAAGCATCTTTTTCTTTTGTTTTCTTTTCTCTTAATGCATTCCCTTTCATAAACTCCTCCCACTAATTCTGAAAAAATAAAGAAAAATGTGGGTTTTTTCCATGTCGTTACACATTTCCCCTAATGTCAACTTCTGACTTATGACAACCCCATATACAATAGAATAAAGCAGGGTCTGTCCTGCACCAACCCTCTGATTGGTTGGGGATCAGACCATTGTGAATTGTCATTGGCTGATTTTTTTTAGAAGTAGGTCAGCAGGATTTTCTTCCTAGTCTGAAAGCTCTGCCAAAACCTGTTTGGCATCCTAGCAACACTGAGAGATGGTCTTTGGCTGTGTGTGACGTGCTCTAGCCAGGAATTGAACCTGGCTTCCTGCGTAGAAGAGGAGAATTCTAACACAGAATCACCGAGTCCCACACAGCTAACAGTTGTTGTGGTTGTTGTTAAGTGCCGTCGAATTGGTTCTGACTCATAGCAACCTTGTATAGTGTTTCTGAGGAGCGGCTGGTGGGTTTGAACCACCGACTTTGCAGTTCAAATTGGCCTTGTGGTCCAGCACATTATCCTGTAACACTACACTCCATAACTAACAGTACTAGGACAAAAAAGAAGAGAAAGCTCACACACACAAAGTTGGATTTGGCCATCACCACCAGGAACTTCTCATCTGACTGGTGCTACATTTTGTAAATAATTCTTCCTAAGGATGAAATATTAGACTAATATTTGAGTGTTATAATCTCAGCTTCCCCACTTACTAGTTATGCATTTGGGCAAGTCTCTTAACCTCCCTATACCTCATATTTTTACATATATAATGGGTTTGTTGTTGTTAATGGGTTAGTGTAAGATTAAAGTCAAGTCATACATGTAAAGCCTTTAAAACAGTGTCCGGTGCACAGTGAACATTATAATAAATTAGCATTGCTTCTGTTGTTATTTCTTCCTAAACAGTAGGTTAATAACATCTCATAGATTATATGTTTTTGTTGTTGTTAAGTGCCATCAAGTCAGTTCTGACTCATAGAGATCCTGTGTAGGGTTTCCGAGAAGCAGCTGGTGAGTTTGAACTGCCAACCTTGTGGTCCAGTGCTGATCCAAGTATGTTTGCCAAAGTCTCTTATACTTTATGGTGTCCTATTGCAAGGGATCAAATGGGATCATTGATACCATTCAAGTCTTTAAAAAATGCTCTAGGAGTTTTGCTTTTTTATCAGGAAGTTCCAGGTTTTTGGAAGATCTAAGCCTCTCGTATGTCCTTGGATTGATCACCAACCCTATACTCCTTTGTGGCAAATAAAAGCATCTCTTCCTGAGAAAAAAATTTCCCCAAAAGAATAACTAGCTGGCAAATCTCCAGCTTTTTCAAGATGATGATATTCAAACCATTTGACTTATTTTCAGACAGTTTAGACCATCTATGGGGTTGCACAGTGAAGTGAAGTCAGGGAGGCCCACCACATACCCCATAGACATGTGGCTGGGCATCAGACCGAAATGAGCTGAGCAGCCTACCAGACAAGGGCTTGATTTTAGGCAATTGTTAGTTATCATCCATAGAGCCATTTCCAACTCATGGCAATCTTATGTATAACAGAATGAAGCATTGGGCAGTCTTGCACCGTCTTCATGATCATTGATATGGGTGAGTCCACTGTGGTAGACCACCTAGGGGCTCACTTGCCAACACTGTATCGGACAATATTCTGTTGTGATGCATAGCATTCTCATTAGCTAATTTTCACTAAGGTGTGTCATAAATTGTAAGGCAACTTGAAGACAGCCTCAGCTAAACAACTAGAACTGTAGTATTTTGTTCCTTTTATAATCCAGACATAGAAGTTTTTCAGAAGCCCAACTCTGTTATTTCCTCCAGTGTCAGCATCTTACGAATCAGGCTGCAAACCTTAAGGTCAGCAGTTCAAAACTACCAGCCGCTCTGTGGGAGAAAGATGAGGCTTTCTACTCCCGTAAAGATTTACACCCTTGGAAACCCTGTACAGGATCGCTATGGGTCGGAACTGACTTGACAGCACTTAACAACAACAACAACAACAGCATCTTAAGAAAGTTTGTTTATAAAACTTTTTATCTGCCTGAAAACTCTGCAAAACAAAACCTAGTTTATTTTTTTCCATCTTCAGTGTACTTCAAAACATTTGTGGGAAAATTGAATCCAAAGATAATGGAATTTTTCCATGAGCTTTTGAAGTCCCCTTCGTATAAAATAGAAAAAGTGCTTGAGTCATTGTATGGTTCAGAGGTAAAGGTTTGCTTGCTCCACTGCCTTCAGATTCTAAAGATATAATATAATATAATATAGCCACAGAGCAGAGTGATGTCAGGGATTGCAGATAAAAGCTCACAGAAAGTCAGCAGCCTAGTTCACACAATAAGGCAAAAGGAATACAAGTGACTGGAGAAATCTAAATAGAGTGCACAGAGGCAGTGCCCACTTCCATCTTAATCTTGACAAATAGACCATAAGACAAGTGCTGACAATGTCCATAAATATGCCTCCTTTTATCTGATCACACCTAAAGGGACAAACACCATTCATAATTGTGGTGCCATTAAATAAGCATTTTTATTTTCTGCTTCTAGTTTTTCCATTAACTTTTTGTGGTGGGGAAGTGGGGTGGGCAGGAGTAAGGAGTAAAGGTTAGAGTTGGGACTATGACAAGGTCTTGGCTAGGCCTAGAACTTCATTTATTGTTAGGGTTTGTGGTTAAGACTTGTTAGTGTTAGGGGTGAGGGTTGGGCTAGGGCTAGGAGTAAAGACTCAGTCTAGTTTTCAGGGTTACGTTTAGGCTCATTTTTATTTATCTTCTTTTGTTTTTTCTTGAAATCTATTTGATTACTTCTTCATTTAAATGTTCTTTACTGGATTATTCCCTCTTCATAATTTATGTTTTTGTTGTTGTTACAACTCTATCTCTGGTTCTCTGTTTTCAGTCTTATAGATCTGTTTTACTCTGCATATTTCCATATCTGGGTTGAGTTCTGGGTGATAGTATCATGTGTGTTACTCTCAGGTTGTTGTCTGCTGTTGTTTGTTCTCTGTCCAAAGAATTCCCTGTAGTATTTTTTGTAAGGTTGGTCTGGATTTTACAAATTCTTTTAGTTTCCATTTGTCTGAGAATGGCTTAATTTCATTGTCATATTTGATGGACAATTTTTCTGGATATATAATCCTTGATTGGCAATTGTTTTCTTTCAGAGTTTTATATATGTCATTACATTGTCTTCTTGTCTCCATGAAGAGGAACAACTTAAGAATTATTGGCATTCCGGAACAGGAAGAATCAGAGAAGTCCACAGAAGATATAGTGAAAGAGCTTCTGGAAGAAAATTTCCCTAACATCTTGAAAGATGAGAAGATAAACATTCAAGAAGCAGAACATACCCCAGGAAGGATAGACCCCAAAAGAAAATCACCAAGACATATAATAATCAAGCTCTCCAAAATCAAAGACAATGAGAGAATCCTAAAAGCAGCCAGGGAAAGAGAAATGTTACTTACAAAGACAAGCAAATCAGATTAAGCTCTGACTATTCATAAGAAACCATGCAGGCAAGAAGACAATGGGGGGAGAAAAAAAGAAGACAATTGGGTGACATACACAAAATCCTAGAAGAAAAAAACTGCCAACCAAGAATCATCTATCTAGCAAAACTGCCAATCAAATATGATGGTGCAATCAAAACTTTCCAGGATAAACAGAAGCTAAGAGATTTTGT